AATCCCTTTGATCTAATATTTGATGTTCTGAGGTCACTCTCATCTTTAACATTATGGGTTCTAAAGTATCTTTTAGCTCTAACATTCCAGATTCTAGGCTCTCTTTCTTCTAGCCCAAAGATCCAGACTCCTCTCTTAATAAATTACTTACTAGCTAAGGACATCATGTACTTGGAGAAGCATCCATCCTCTCTGCTTACTAAATGAACTATTTTCAGCACAAGGTCAGTATATGAACTAAAATTTTTTCCTGCACCTCTAGGAATGCTGACTACTTGACTGAGAATGTGATTGAGTGGGATGAGGAAACTGGACATAGGATAAGTCTGAATGGGAGGGACTCAGACCTACTTTTAGAGACTTTTTTTTGGATGAGGCAATTGGGGTTGAGTGACTTGCCCAGAGTCACACAGCTAGAGAGTGTTTTGTGTCTGAGGTCGGATTTGAACTCAGGTCCTCCTTACTACAGGGCCGGTGCTCTATCCACTGCACCACCTAGCTGCCCCCAGACCTACTCTTAGCAAGTGACTCCCTCAAAGCAGGGTTCTCATCCTATCTCACATTTACTAGTTGTGCAAACTTGGCAAGGCGATCAATCTGTTTGGACTTCCGTTTCCTCATCTTCATAATGACGGGAATGGACCAGATGTCCTGGTAAGGACCCTTTTTGTATATTTGTCAATTTCAAGGTCTGATTGCTTTGGTGTGGTGTCTTGGCTTATGAAAAGCATGAATTCTTTTAGATTTAAAGCTAGAAGTGACTTGGAAGTTCATTCAGTCCAACCCCTTCATTTTACATGGAGGAAACTGAGGCACAGACAGGTGATGCTGCTTCCCCAGGATCACAAAGCTAGTAAATATATGAGGCAGGATTTGAACTTGTCTTCCTGACTCTAAATTCAGCCTCAACCCACTATAACACCTTTATCATGCTGCCTGAACTCCAGGCCATAATCCTCATCCCCAGTTCAGGAAGACCTGAGTTTACCTCAGATCCTTACTTTGTTCAATCATTTCAGCTGCGTCTGACTCTCTGTGACCCCTTTTGGCATTTTCTTGCAGATACTGGAGTAGTTTGCCATTTCCTTCTCCAGCTCTTTTATAGATGAGGAAACTGAGGCAAACAAGGTGAAGTGACTTGCCCAGAGTACCATGGCTATTAAATTTCTGATGCCAGATTTGAACTCAGGTAGTCCTGAGTTCAGGATTTCAGGTCCAGCTGAACTTCAGGTCCGGTGCTCTATCCACTGTGCCACTTAGCTACCCCAGATACTTACTAGCTATATGAATGAATGAATGAATGAATGAATGAATGAGAAAGTATTAAGTTTTTACTATGTGCTAAAACTATGCTAAATGGTGGGGATAGAAATATAAAAGCAAGGATAGTCTTTGCCCTCAAGGAGCTTACATTCTAATCAAGGTGACCACACTCTTAGGGCAGGGACATTCACTGGAAAGTAATTGGGGCCATAAAGGTATATGTTGATACATTCTATCCAGGAACAATGACAGAAATAGTTTGGTTGATTGTTCCAGAACTAGAGAGAGAGGCTGTGGAAAATTCTTGGAAGCATGGCTGAGCCCTTTCTGAAACTGTCTGGGACAGGCAGGCACATAGAAGGGGAGCAGCCCCAGGGCTGAAGTTTCTTCAGAACCAAGGTAGTTCTGGTGTGAGGCATTAGGGGGCTGGTGAGGAAGCTGCGGAGGAGGTAGTCAGAGCTGAAGACTGAAGAACAATGCTGAGGACCTCTCCTGGCCTTGATTTCCTGACCTCTAAGGGGCGACGGTTAGACTTGCAGATTTTGAAATCCCTTAGATCCCATTCTATGATCTAAGACCATATGATCTCACTGCAGAAGCAGGACCCTTAGCCAACCCAGCCTGAAATACCCAGCAGGCCTCACCCCCACCGTTTACTTCCCAAAGAAAATACATCAATCTCAATGACACACTTTGTTGTCAGGAATTTCATTACTAGACATAGAAATAACACAGGAGAAAATGGGATACATGCACTCCAGACAGAATTACAGATGTTCTGGCAGCACTGGGATGGGGAGATTGCCTGGGAGATGAAGAGGGCAGGGGCTTTTGGGAAGGATTGATGGGGGAGTGGGGAGTGCTCTAGCAATTAGAAATGCACAAAGTGAATTAGGCTGTCTCTCAAAGTCTCTAAATGAAGGCCAAATGACCCTTTGCCAAGGACGTAGGGAGGGAATCCTTCACAGGCAGAAGTTGGATAAGATAATGTCCAAGGTCCCTTCCAATTCTCAGATTCTGTGATGCCGTGACTGGTCTCCAGAGCAGCAGCTGGGGCTCCAATGTTACAGGATGAACAATCCTAAGGATGACAGTCCTAGACGTTGCTGTCTCCCTGACTTTTTGACACGGCAACAAGATGACAACCAGATGGCCCACTTTCTCTCCATGGCAGTGAGAATCATCCTTGTTCAATGATTTATCTCCTTGTGTCAGAAAAACACAGGATAGTCATGAGTAGAGATACATCAAACCTTGCCAGGAAGCGCTGTCCTGGCCCCATTGCAAGGTTCCTGCTTGCCACCAGCAGTAAAACTCTCACTTCTGTCCCTGGTGTCCCCCTCACCCCCAGTGAATCAGGAATGGAGAGAAATGCTTCTTGGGTCCATTTAATCAGCAATGAGGGCAAAGGAGATAGAAAGTGAACTGATGATGATGTATTAAAGATGAAGGCTATGGGAATACTTTCTACCAATAGTTACACACTCCCTGACTACAGACTTAGGGACCAGTGGGAGCTCGATGAGAAAATAAATTCATAGAATGTCAGAATGAGGAAACTTTAGAACACAGACTAACTGGGGAACTCTCCTGACAACTTAGAACAGAAATGCACCTGTACTCTGTGGGTCTAGTCTAACTGGCCTTTTTACAATTTCTCCCACCTCTCTGTGTTTGCAGTGACTATCTCCCTGTGCCTGGAATGCATGGCCTCATCACCCACTTTTTAAAAACCTTGTTTTTTGTTTTATTTTTGTTTTAATCAAAAAATCTGCTCAAGATCCACCTTCTATGTAGAACCTCTCCTGATTCACCTACACCAGTTTCTATTACCTCTCCCCTAAATTAGTACTACAATTATCCTTTCCACATCATCTCTTTCCCAATTGTGGTTGCCATGTATCTTGGCGGGTCAGCATAAAAAATTAAAGGGGAATTTTTGGGGGAGTTTTGCTGAAGCTGTAGATGATAGGTGAAGTCCAGTGGACAACACAAAAAAGTCTGGAAACTCAGAAATGCATAAAATATATGTATAGTATTGTATAATATCAAAATAATCTTTTAATACCATAATAATTCAAACTATCTTTGGTACAAAAGGAGAGCCAAAAATTTTACACAGATTTTCCAGATCTCAGGGATGCCATGCCCCTACCCCCTCCAATGTGGAAGGGATAACTACATCAGTTTGTATCTATGGTGCACATATTTATTTATGAATAAGTTGTAATTTTGTTCTGCTCAGTTTCAGAACCTAGCACAATGCTGTTGAGTCATTTTCAGTTTTGTCTGATTCATCATGACTCCATTTGGGGTTTTCTTGGCAAAGATATTGGAGTGGTTTGCAATTTCCTTCTCCAGCTTGTTTTACACGTGGTTAAGTGACTTGCCCAAAGTCACATCGCTAGTAAGCATCTGAGGCCAGGTTTGGTCTCAGGAAGAAGTCTTCCTGACTCCACTGTGCCACCTAGCTGCTGTGTACGTAGTGGACACGTAATAATTGCTAATTAATTTATTAGCTGATTGAACAGAGAATATAAAATGTTTGAGGAGGATGGAGTCTGAAATCATAAAACATTGGAGGGAAGTTAGAGGGGGCATAAGTACTTGGAACATGGGGTGTTATCACTAGAAGGGACTTTAGAGATCTTCTCCAGCAACTCTTTTTACAGGTGTGTGTTATCAAAGGCTTTCTGGGTGGGAACAGCCTCTTATTTAACATAAAACATTCTCTCCCCTCATCTGTTCCCCTCTCCCAGCTTCAGTATTTTAAGAGTATACCAATGTGAGAAAAAAGAAAAAATATTTCCAAAACATTTCTCAATAAAAATCCCCCATATATCCTACCCTTGGAGGAGATGTTGGCTTCCCACTTACAGAGTCAGGAGGTCAGAATCCCATTGACAGCAACCTTCTCATTGAAAGTAGTATTTTACTTCTGTGCCTTATCTTCCTCATCTGAAAACTCCCACTTGGGAGTTTATTTCCAATGGGATTCTTTGATCAGCATCCTAAGAAAAGCTTTGCCAATGCTTAGAGAAACCTGGAGAAAAGACTCCATGTCCAGCATTCCCACCCCCATTGGAGTTGTGCTCTCTTCTCTCTTGGGAATTTGCTGATTCCTTCCTTTCTCCCTGCTGCCTCCTGCTCCCTGCCTCTCTTACTTCTAATTCATTCCTTATTCTCTGCTCCAGAAATGGAAACCTATAATGAGCCCATACAGAGCTTTTGCCTTGATTTATACCTGATTATAAAGGATGCTTTGGGGTCTTCTGTCTTTGCTGAAATGCATAGCCAATTATAAGGTGGATAAAAAGCCCCATGTTCAGTTTTTAAAAACTGCTTTGGCAGCATAAACATAAAGCTTAACTTAACAAGTGCCCCATAAAGTGTTTACTTAGTTGTTTAAATTCTTGTAGCATGTGACCTTTGCCCCAAGTCGTTGGGGGTGCCTTCAGCTGATTGTTAACATTCACAGTTGCAGGAAGCTCCTTTTTAGCTTAGTGTATAGATTCACCATTTTTTAAATTCAGGAATTAATGCCCAGCCCAGCCCTGTGAATGCCATAAATAGAACTATTTGTTGGATGAATGATGACAGTTGCACTTAGTAAGTGTTCAAAAATATTTCACAGGATCAGATTTAGAATTGAAAGTGGCCTTAAAGGTCCTCAAATCCAACCCTTTATTTTACATATGAAGAAACTGAGGTACAGTGTGGTTCAGTGATTTGCCAGGGTCATGCAGTGAGTAAGTATCTAAGGTGAGATTTGAACCCAGGTGTTTCAGGTGCCAAGTCCAGCATTTTCTCCATGTTTGGGATATACACTAGATCTATGATTTCATTTTTTATGGAACTCCTGTATGAAGTAACTTTCCCTTCCAACGTAGGTTGGAACCTTCTCTGAAATTTATCCTTTTAGTGAGTTGCCAACAGAAATGAAAGTTTAAGTCACTTTCTTGAGATTAAATGGTCATCACGATTTTGTAGCAGGACTTGAACCCAGTTCATCATGGCTTTGAGGCCAGCTCTCCATTTACCATGCTGCACTGCCTCTCTGAAGGAGTATTAGGCTAAGGAAAAAAAAAACAGAATTAGGAAGATAAATCCACTGGGGGTGGGGTGGGCGAAATAAAACAATCTACTGTCAATGGAAAAAGAGGCCACTTTTACATTCTCTATGGTCAAATCTCATCCCTAACCATGGAGAATCGAGAATTTATTTTGATGCTTCAATGTAAACTGTAGAAAGAATAGTTTGTAGCTGAGAATTTCCTGTTGAGTCCTAGCTCTGCTGTTTGCTACCTTTCTAGATTTAAGATGGGAGAAGGCTGGCTAGAAAGCAGACTTATCAGAAAAAGAAATGAGGTTTTCATGCCCAACGAGACCAAGATGAGTATGACATAGCAACCAAGAACATTGTTGTGATTTTTAGACCATTAAGAGAGGAGAAAGACACATACACACACACAGACAAAGACATAAGAGACAGCAGAGAGAGACAGATAGAAAGACAGAGACAGAGATGGGAGGGAGAAAGAGAGTGCCATAGAGAAAGAGAGAAAGATAAAGTGGAAGAGGAGAGAGAGAGAGAGAGAGAGAGAGAGAGAGAGAGAGAGAGAGAGAGAGATACAGTGTGACATAAAAGGTAGAGAACCAATCTCAGAGCCAACAAGACCTGAGTTCCAGTCCCATCTCTGATATATTCTGGCCACATGACCCCATGTAACTCACTTATCCTCTCAGTACTCTAGGCAACTCTCTATCAGAGATGTTGCCAACCTGTATTCATGGAGGGAGTTTCCTCACCTGGGAGTACCCTGTCCAGTATGGCAAAATCACAGCTCTAGTCTCTATCCCTATTAAGAGAGGCATAGAGTCCAAGAGCAGGGAGATAATAGTATAGCTGTTATCTACCTTAGTGAGACTCTGCCTGGAAGATGGTGTTCACAGCTAAGAGTCACATTTTAGAAAGGATATTAATAACAAGGTAAACAGTGGAGGCAGAACTAAGATGGCAAAGGAGAGGCAGCAACCCTGACAAACTCTCCCAACATTCCCCTCTAAACAACTTTTTAAAAAACTCCCCAAATTGAATTCTGGAGAGGCAGATCCAACAAAATGTCAGAGCAAGACACTTTTTCCAGCCCAACAACTTAGAAGGTCAGCAGGAGAGGTCTGTGACATCAGGGTGGGGGATGGTTTAGAATGAGGCAGCAGTACCAGAGGTGGGCGTTGGAGGTGGCTACAGCAGTGGTAGTGAGAACTTCAGAAACTCTCAGCTCAGAGACCATAAGCAGGTCTACAGATGGTCAGAAAGAGATCACAGGGGCCCTTTTGCTGGCACTGAGTGCAGTATCATGGTGCATTACTCATGCTCAGTTCCAGGGTGAGGAGGAGCACTAGCACTGATGGCCACAGGAGAGCAAGGACCCTAGTCACAGTTCCAGAGTGGAAAAGAATGCTTATGGTTACTCACAAGGGAGCAGGGGTCCCCATCTCCAAGGTAGAAAGGATCAACAGTGTTTGCAGCTGCAGGGAAGCAGGGGCCCTGGTCATGGTTCCAGGGCCAAGAAGAGTGCCAACACTTGTGGCTGCAGGGGAGCAGGGGATCTTCCTGGGTAAAGACCAGGAAAGCAATGACCACACCTCTCCCCAGATCACACAACCATGGAAGCACTGAAACTTGCAGACCTCAGAAGCAGCACAAAAAACCTGAAGCTAGAGACAGTGCTCCCACCCTACTCCCCTGAAGCAGAGCACAGCTTTAACATAAAGTTAAAAGTCAATAATTAGTCAGGAAAATGAGCAAACAACAAAAGAACCTGACCATAAAAAGTTACTACGCTGACAGGGAAATTCAAGACATAAACTCAGAAGAAAACAATGATGTCAAAACAGCTACATAGGAAATATAGCTTTCATAGCAAAAAAATATAAATTGGACACAAGCCTGACAAGAATTCCTGGAAGAGCTTTAAAAAAAGATTTTAAAAATTAAGTAAGAGAATAAAGGGAAAATTAGGGAAAGAAATGAGATTGATGCAAGAAAATTATGAAAAGAAAATCAACAGCTTTGTAAAAGAAGCACCCAAAAATACTGAAAAAAAAAACACCTTAAAAAAGGAATTGGCCAGATGGAAAAAGAGGCCCAAAAATTCATTGAAGAAAAATCTCCTTAAAAAGTAGAGTTGGTCAAATGGAAAAAGAAGTACAAAAGCTCACTGAAGAAAATAATACTTTTAAAATTAGAATTGGGCAAGTGGAAGCTAATGACTCCATGAAACAACAAGAAACAATAAAACAAAGTCCAAAGAATGAATAAATAGAAGAAAATATGAAATAGCTCATCAGAAAAACAATTGACCTAGAAAATGGATCTAAGAGAGATAATTTAAGAATTATTGGACTATTTGAAAGTCATGACCAAAAGAAAGAGCATAGACATCTTATCTCAAGAAATTATAAAGGAAAATTGCCCTGATATCTTAAATCCAGAGGATAAAATAGAAATTGAAAGAATCCACTGATCACCTCCTGAAAGAGATCCGAAAATGAAAACTTCCAGGAACATTATAGCCAAATTCCAGAGCTCGCAGATCAAGGAGAAAATTTTGCATACAGTCAAAAAACAATTCAAATATCATAGTGCCACAGTTAGGATCACACAGAATTTAGCAGATTTCATGTTAAAGGACTGGAGGGCTTGGAATATGATATTCCAGAAGGCAAAGCAGCTAGGATTACAACCAAGAATAACTTACTCAGCAAAACTGAGTATAATCTTTCAGCGGGGAAATGGATATTTGATAAAATAGAGGATTTTCAAACATTCCTGATGAAAAGACCAGAGCTGAATAGAAAAATTGATGTTCAAACACAAGACTTAAGGGAAACACAAAAAGGTAAACATGAAAGAGAAATCATAATATGGTTAAGCTGTTTATATTCCTATATGGAAAGATGATACATGTAACTCCTAAGAAATTCATCATTATTAGGGCAGTTAGAAAAAAGTATACATAGACAGAAGCATAGGTGTTAATTGATTATGATAGAAAGAGCTCAACCAGAAAGAAGGGGTAAGAAAAAGGGACGCACTGGAAGAAGGAGAAAGGGAGAGGAAGAATGGATAAATGATCTCACATAAAAGAGGCATGTAAAGAAGAGTTTTTACAGAGGAGAGGAAAATAGGGGTGAGAGGGGCAGACAATGCTTGAAACTCACTTTCATCAGAATTGGTTCAGAGTTGGGTGTAGAAATCTGTCTCACCCAACAAAGAAGTAGGAGGGGAAGGAGAAGAGAGAAGAAGGATACAGAATAGAAGAAGTAGGGGGGTTAGAGGAGGCAATGGTTAGAAGCAAAATAGACTTTTCAGGAAGGACAAGAAAAGAAGTGAAGGAAAGAGCAGGAAAAAATAAGATGGAAAGAAATACATAGATAGTAATCATAACTATCAATGTGAATGAGATGGACTCATCCATAAAACAGAAGCAGATAGCAGAACAGATTAGAAACCAGAATCCAGCATTATGTTATTTATATAAAACACACTCAAAACAGAAACATACATACCACAGAGTAAAAATAAGTGGCTGAAACAGAATCCATTATACTGTGGCTGAGGTTAAAAAAAAAAAAAAGGCAGGGATAGCAGTCATGATCTCAGACAAAGCAAAAGTAAAAGTAGACTTAATTAAAGGAGATAAGCGGAGAAAGTACATTTTGCTAGAAGGTACCATAGACAATGAAGTAATATCAATACTAAAGACATATGCACCAAATGACAGAGCATCCAGATTCCTAAAGGAAAATTTAAATGAGTTACAGGAGGAAATAAACAGTAAAACTATACTAGTGGGAGATCTCAATTTTCCTCTCTCAGAACTAGATAAATCTAAACACAAAATAAATTAGAAAGAAATTAAGGAGGTGGGGGCAGCTTGCTGGCACAGTGGATAGAGCACCAGTCCTGGAGTCAGGAGGACCTGAGTTCAAATGTAGCCTCAGACACATAACACTCAATAGCTGTGTGACTCTGGGCAAGTCACTTAACCCCAATTGTTTCACCAAAAACAAAACAAAACAAAACAAAACAACAAAAAAAAACTGACCACGTATTAGGGCATAAAGACATCACACACCAATGAAGAAAAAAAACAGGAATATTAAATTTGTCCTTTTCAGACCATAATGCTATAAAAATATTCAATAAAGGGCTATGGAAACATAGATTAAAAATTGTCTACTAAATAATCTAATCCTAAAGAAAAAATAGGTCAAAGAAACAAATCGTAGAAACAATCAGTAATTTCATTCAAGAGAATGACAACAATGAGACAACATGTCAAAATCTGTGGGATGCAGCCAAAGCAGTACCTAGGGAAAAATTCATAACTCTAAACACTTACACCAACAAAATAGAGAAAGAACAGATCAATAAATTGTACATGGAATTTTAAAAAAATAGAAAAAGAACAAATGCAATATCCCCAATTAAATATCAAAATGAAAATCTTGAAAAAAATCAAAAGAAAAATTAATAAAATTGAAAATTAAAAAAAAAACTATTGAATTGGTAAGCTGGATAGTGTCCAGAGGAGGATAAACAGGAGGTGAAGTGTTGGAGATCATGCCATAGTAGGAATAGTTGGAGGAACCCGGTAAGGTTAATCTGAACCTAAGAAAGAGAAACTAAAAAGGTTATGATAGCTGTCTTCAAGTAGGCAAAAGACTAGCATGAGAAAGAACATGGTAGGGTGAAGAATTGTTGTTGGTGAATCATTTTCAGTCATGTCTGATTTCATAACCCCATTTGGAGTTTTCTTGGCAAAGATACTGGAGTGGTTTGTCATTTCCTTCTCCAGCATATTCTGCAGATAAGGAAACTGAGGCAAACAGGGTTAGGTGACTTGCCCAGGGTCACAAAGCTGGTAAGTGTCTGAGACCAGATTTGAACTCAAGTTGAGTCTCCTTGACTGTATCCTCAGCCACTCTATCCACTGCACCACTTATCTGCCATTGAAATGGAAACTGAGTCATGAAAAAGATCCTTGTAAAACTTCAAATCAGAGCCAGGCCTGAAATATAGAGTAATAGACTACATTTCCATGACACATTAGCATCTACAACATAAATTTATCACAACATTCTTATGATAACTCTAGTGCAAGAATTGTCATTCCCATTTTAACAGAAGAGGATATTGAGGCTCAAAGAGGTCAGTTGACTTGAATATGGCCACATGGCTAAGAAGAGGCAGACCAAAGTCTGGAGTTCCTTCCACTACACCTCCCTGTCCTCTCTTTGTCCCTTGAGATTAGTCTTGTCTTCTGTGGGGCTCATTCCAGCCTACCCGGTATCTGATTTTGTGTGTCAGACCTGTGTTCCTCCTGACACATACCTGGACTCATGGCAGTGTCCTGATAGTTTTCTTGAAGATTTCCTTCATATTCCCAGTAGAATGTAAGCTTCTTGAAGAAGGGACTATTTCCTTCAGGACTTGGTATCCCCAGAGCCTGCCACAGTACAAGGCACATTGTCAGCTCCTAAGAAATATTTGTTGAATGGAATTCATTCAATCAATTAATCTCAAAGCATTTTTTACTAAGCACCTATTATGTACCAACACTGTGCTATGTGTTAGGAACACAAATATACAAAAGTGAGACAGTCCCTGATGTCTTCAGGGGCTTAGAATTAATAGGATGACACTAAATTTTCATCTGAAGTAGAATGATCAGGATATTGAGGAGGGTCTGGACACCTTTCCACTTGGAAATGGTAAGAGGTAATAGAATATCCATCTTGGAGGGGGAGAACTTAAGGGTGAGGAGGACATAGCACCTGTCTTCAGATATTTGAAAGGCTACCATATAAAACAAGGAACAGACTTGCTCTGCATAGCTCCAGAAAACAGAACTAGGAGCCACAGGTAGATGTTACAGGGAAAAAGCGGAATTCTAGTCAGCAGCAAAATAGACTTTCTAACAATCACAGCTAATCAGCAATGCAATGCTGTCCTTGACAGCAGTAATGACTATATGCTGAGAGTGTGAAATGTCCCTAAAGCTGAGGTATCAAATACAAGGTCTTCCACACACCCAGAGCTAACCAACCAGATTAAAATGAATTGAGAAATATTTAACTCCTAGTAAAAATACAACCAAACATAGATAATGTTAATATATTATATTCCAAGTCAATCTGCAGCCTGCAGAAATCTTTATGTCTGATTTGCTGGCCCCTGTTTCTATTTGAGCTTGGCACCTCTGCTGCCATAGCTAAATTCAGGTCTTTGAATGATTGTTGAGTGAAAGGGGGCTCAAGGGGACAGGTAAGTAGAGCACTGGCCCTGGATTCAGGAGGACCTGAGTTCAAAATCCAGCCTCAGATACATAACACTTACTAGCTGTGTGACCCTGGGCAAGTCACTTAATCTCATTGCCTAGCCAAAAAAGAAAAGAAAAAAAAAAGAAGAAAGGGGGCTCAAGCCTGTTCTGTGTGGCCCCAGAAAGGAGAACTCTAAGCAAAGAAAACAAAGTTACAAAGAGAAAGATTTGGGCTGGATGTCAGTTAAAAAAAAAGCCTCAATAATTTGAGCTATCTCAAAGTGACTTCTCAAATGGACTTAAACAGGCTGCTGTAGGATACAGCTTGCTCCTCCTCCTTGGCTGTTTTCCAGCAGCCACTGGGTGACCACCTGTCAGGTATGGTGGAGAGGGGATTTTTGCCCAGCTATGTCTTCCAGCTCTAAGATGCGATGAATCTATGATGTGAGGAAGAGGTCAGTTGTGCATTTTAATTGTAAGAACTTTGTCTCAGATTTACTCAGACACCTATGGAAGATGATGGCGGGGGCCCTATCTACCAAACCAAGCAATAGGAATGGGGTGTGAGCATCGGGACTAACCCTACCATTAACTCACCGGGAAACCTTGAATCAATGTCCTCCCATGTTGGTGTTTCCCTCTCCTCTCTTCTGATCTCACACTGGTGTCTTGAGCCCACGTGCCCAGGCCTCTGAAGACAAAAGATGTTGGGAAAATACTCAGAGCATTTTGAAGACGGAAAATAGCAGGTAGCAAGTAATCTCACTATCCCAGAGTGCGGGGTGGGGTCTCTGCAGTTTGATTTTCTGCTTCCATTTTTCCGGTTTTACTTCTCCTTGGGCCAACTTGCATTTTCCCATGGTTGTGTATTTTGCATTCTGCAATGGTTTGCTCCAAGTCCTTAAAACATACGCCTTTCTCCTTCATAAAATCTAAAGTTAAAGTGATTTAAGCGAGGTGGATAGAACACTGGATTTATAATCAGGAAGACCTGAGTTCAAATCTGCTTTACTAGCTGTATGGTCCTGGGCAAATCACTTCCATTGTCTGCCTCAGTTTCCCCAATTATAAAACGGAGATAATAATAGCTACCTATCAGGATTGCTGTGAGGATCCAATAAGACAGTTTTTATAAAGATCTTTTCAAACCTTAAAGTGATATCTGCATGTTAGTGAGGATGATGATGGTGTAGTCTTTTCGACCAATGGTTCCCTATCCTCTTCTTAAGTGTTTTAAGTGACCAGTTTCCTCCTCTTTAGACTGTGGGGGTTGAAAGGTAGTGAGCTCCCCATCACTAGAAGTCTTCCAGATCGGGAATATTATAGAGTGGATTCTTATACAAGTCAGGAACAAGTTACACTAGGTATCCTCTGAGATTCTGTGTGTGAACAGAAACTCTCTAAGGTAGAGGTATCTACCATGCAGCCTGTTGTCCGTGTTGCTCTAGAAGGGGCCAAACTAGATAAAAATGAAATTGGAAAATATTTATCAAAATAAATAAAAATATAAAAGAACACAGGTAATGTTAATATGTGGTTTTCTAAGTCAATATGCAGCCCTCAGGGTTCCATATGTACAAGGTTGACACCCCTGATGTAGTGCCTAAAATATATCTAATAAATGGCCTTTTCCACTTTCTCATCACCAGTCTTGCATCAGCAAAAGCATCCTGGCAACTCTGCCTCCCCTTTCCAGTTCTTCTTCTTCTTCTTTTTTTTTTTTGGCCTTTTTTTGGTGAGGCGATTGGGGTTAAGTGACTTGCCCAAGATCACACAGCTAGTAAGCGTCAAGTGTCTGAGGTCAGATTTGAACTCAGGTCCTCCTGACTCCAGGGCCAGTGCTCTATCCACTGCACCATCTAGCTGCTCCTCAGTTCTTCTTTATGTGTCATCTCCCTCCATTAGAGTGTACCTTCTTGTGGGTGCTGTTCAGTTGTGCCTGCCTCCTTATGCCTCTTCTTGTGGGTAGGACCTGTTTTATTTGCTTCTACCTATATTCCAAGTAATTAGCACAGTGCCTGACACATAGGAAATGCTTAACAAATGTTTCTCTTTCTCTTGGTCTATCTCTGTTCAATGAAATTTTATGAAGTGCCTACTATGTGCTGCTGTTATTGTTGTTTGCCCTTCATTTTCAAAGAGGATCAATGCCTTGACTCGTGCGTAAATTGGATTTGAGTGAGGCAGAGTTGAACAGTTATCAGCCTCACTCTCTCTTCCTGAGTCATCAAAGTCCAGTGGCAAGACAAAAGTCAAGATGGCTGGCGATGGTCTGGGATGCAGTAGCTGACCTTGCCATCTTCAATGTCTGACCAAGCTCTAAGCGCTCGAGTGCCTGCTTCAACCACCTTCATGGCTGTTGGAACGAATTGTTCTAATCCACTCATTCTGCCAGAGGAAGTCTTCACACGCTTGGGGTAGACACCCCCCCTAACTCACCAATGGGTCTGAGGTCCGTCAGTTACCCTCAGCCTGCTTTAGCCTGTTTACCAAGATGGTTTTACCAGGGTGTGGCCGCTGCACTTGCTACAGGTTCTTGAAGCCGCAGGTGAGAGTGGAGTGCCAGGTAGACACCAAAGGTAGGTGAGCAACCCTGAAAAGGACTTGGCAAGCCAGAGGCGCTACTCCTGCTAGGCATTGTACCAAGCACTGAGGATACAAACAAGAAAAAGAAAAGCAGTCCCTGCCCTCACAGAGCTTACAGTCTAATAGGTGAAAACAACACACGAAAGGAGGCTGAAAAAAGGCAAGGGAGTGGTGAGGCGAGATGTTCCACGGAGTGAAACCAAACATAGCTGCTGATGGAGCATGGGAAATCACCCAGAAAGTTGGGAGTCCTCTAGAAAGAAAGGCTTTGGGAGGAGTTTAATGCTTCATCCTTCAACCCACTGATTCAGGGAGGGGGGAAGGGAGAGGGAGAGAAGAAACTGAGGGAGATGAAAACGCAGTCAATAAGCATGGTTTCAGGTGACCAGCTTACCCTAGGGGAGGCATGATGTTCCAAAGAGTCAAACCAAGCAGAGTTGTTATGTAAAATGTTATGAAAAATGAAAAATTCCTCTGTCTCTTTTCCTGTTTCTCTGTCTTTCTCTGTCTCCTTCTGCCTCTGTCTGACTCTCTCTGTCTGTCTCTGTCTCTTTCTGCCTCTGTCTCTCCCCACCCCCATCTCTACATGTTGATTTATTATTGACCCAGGAGCAGAGACGAGTTCAAATCAAATCTTTAATTTCCTAGCAGAATGACCTTGATTTACTTATTTTACCTCTTTGAGATTCAGTTTTCTCATCTATAGAATGGGTATACTGATATGTACACTATCTACATTACAAGATTGTTGTGAGGAACGTATTTTTTAAATCTCACAATTTGTAACAGAAAGTGTGTTGTATATGGAAGCAGAGAACTTGGCTTTGATTCCCAGCTCTCTGTCCTGGGTTTTTTAGCCTCTGTGGATATCAAATCCCTTATCTATAAAGAGGAAGGCTGGATTGGATGACTTCAGAGGTCCCTCCCAGCTCTAAAGCTGGGATCTTATACAGAAATATATCATAGATGCAGAGCCTGAGAAAATTCCTGGGCTGGAAAGGACCTTTAAGGGAATATAGCATGTCAGAACCAGAACGGAACTTAAGATGATTGTATTCAGAATGTTAGATCTGGAAAAAACCTGAGAACATTGAACAGAAAATGTCAGAACTGCGAGAAACCCTTAGGGAATGTTTAATCTCTCATCTTACTTTCTCTCACCTCTTAACTTTCTCCTTCCTCTCTTCCATTTCTTCCCCATTCCCCTTTCTTCTTCCCTCTTTCTTCTGGATTTTGCCATTGTCCTTAGGCCTCTCAGGGGCACCCAGGGGCACCACTCAGCCTCAGTCATGGTACTCAGATACCATGGAGAAGACAAAAAGTGTGGCCCCAGATCTTATTTCCTCTAAGAGTATCTCATGTTCTCTTTCTCTTTCTCTGGCCTAGACAACAGGGCCAGAGGCCACTCCAGGAGGGGCCAGCTTTCCCACAGAGATATTTGCTCAGGACAGGCAGATGCAGACAAAAGAAACCCTGTAAAAAAAAATGTCCCCACCAAATTGTAAGCCACAATCTGATTGGGTTTAGAAATCAAAGGGCAAAGGGCGATAATATCAAGGGCTTCCTCTAATTTTGTTCTTTCTGGCCAAGCTCAGGACTAGAGAAATAGGAAGAGGGAAAGTATAAAAGCCATATTGGGTGCATCTGGGTTTGGGATTTTAATTGCTAATTAAGACAGTGCTAAAGTAGTCTCCCCTCCCACCCCCATACCTTAATCCAAATAAGCTGGATCCAGACTCTCTTTCCTGGGCAGTATTTTGAACTTACATCTTAAAGGATTGGTCTCTGAAGAGCAACTTTCCAATTCTGGCCTCTAGAAAATTGGGAATGAAGTCCTTAGGACAGTGATAGGAAGGAAGGAAACCGGAAGACAAAAGACATTGCTCTTTGTTTCTTATCTCCCTCTTCCGGTAGCTTTTCAGTTCTATTCATTTTTAGAATTGGTGGTAGGTCTTGACAGAGAGGTAATGAGCTCAGGGAGAAGAATGAGTTGTACATTTTTAAAAAATATGTGCAAAGCAGGAATTTGGTTTGCTTGACTATACATATTTGATCTGGGGGGTTAGGAAGATAGAAGGGAGAGGAAAATAGGTATTTGTTAATTGAAAAAAATAGCATCAAATTTGGGAGTGGGATGAGGGCAAGGGGAGAATAACTACTTGTTAATAAAATAAAATAGTTTAGAAGTAGAAAAAAAGGGAGAGGCATATGAGAATATAATGAAGTGAACCATAAATTTGGAATTATAGAACACCAGGTATGCTATTTTCTAAATGAATGACCTTGGGGAAGTCACAACCTGGGGTGGAGGGGGGGGTGGAGTGTAAAATTCCTTCTCTGTAAAATGAGGGAATTCTTCTGGATGATTCTGAAGGATCCTTCCAGGTTTAAAGTCATGATACTATGGGCAATATTGACATTATATATATATATATATATATATATTCACATATTATTATATCATAAAATTATATATTCATTATATATTCACATCAATTATCATTGTATTTGTTAATATATAAAATTATGTATTATGTTATTGTATAACATTATATAATACATATTTATATATATAACAATTATATTATTATTGATGTTGCTATTCTCAGTCTCATCTTTGATCACAGTCCTGGGACACATGGTGATTCTATGATTTTTCTTAAATGTTAAATGTTTGGTAGATTATTTTATAGGTGTGTAAGAGGTTTTTTGTTTTGTTTTGTTTCGTTTTTGTTTTGTTTTGTATTATTTTGTTTGTAATTGAATAAGAACACTAGGACCAAAGGATCATCTTCTGTAAGCTTCCTACAAGTATCTTTGGGACAACTCCATTAGCAGAGATGACAGTGCAATAATATGTGTTTCATCTCATTCCTATGTGGTTTAGATTTCCTCTACTAGGTCTCTGCATTGTAAAAGCTTTTGATTTTGTGTAACATGGAGATGATGACTATTTTATATGGAGATAATTGATTAAAAACATTGTTTTCAATTTTTAAATGGTTAATATTATATCCTGGCTGTTGTATGCAGTAGTTTTGTTTGTGATACTTCTCCAGTTCCAGTATAGTTTATCTGTTGAATTTGGGGGTTTACATTTGTTGAATGGAGATTCATCATCTGTTTCAGAAGGGAAATAAACTTTTACTGAATAATTCTGACCATCTGATTGAGACTTTCTAGGGATTTGATAGGGGATATTTTTACTTATTTATTTTTTTGCAGCCTGCTTAGCTTTCACCTTATCCTTGTGTAACCCTTGGTACATCTCAGACATGAGAATTGTACACTGTGGGGTGAAGTCCTGAAGACAAGAAGGGTATTCTTTGGCTTGACATACTCATGGACCAAAGAGCAGCTGAGTATCAGAGACAGTATTGTGTCCCATACTAAAGAGGTTGTCAAGAGAAGTGGGACACATGGGAACTCCAGGAGTAAAGGAGGAGCCAGTGTAGAATGTTTGGATGAAGTATCTCTGTAGTACAAGAGAGATGTTAGAAAGGAAGTAGAGAGGCCAAGTCACACTGGCCACTACTGCTAAAGCAGCCCCATAGCACAGAAGGCTGAGAAGAGAGAGGCTGGTATTCAGTTCTATTGGAGTCAGGCAAGCTTGAGTGAAGGAGGAGATAGATGATGCAGAGATGATAAAAAGAGGGGCAGACTACCATGACTGGAATCAAACACCATCCAGTGGTCTTGGTTGCCCTTGTCCAGTAAGGCCAGATGGTACAGCGGAAGCCCAAGCAAGAGGTCATTTCAACCAATGATGAACTTCTCCTGAATTACTACAGATGGTGAAGTACCTGCCTCTCCCTTTCTATTCTGGAGGCTGGAGGTGCAATTCAATCAACCAATCAAGAAATATTTATGAAATACCTACACTGTGCCAGGATTGTTCATAATTCCTGACTTAATTCATACTTTAACAGTGGCATACTATGTGTATATATATATATATATATATATATGTATATACATATAATTGTATCATAACAATTTTTTGAGGTATATGTGTTTCATTCTGTGTGAAGGAGAAGAACCATGTCTTCTTGATATACAAGTTAGAGTAAACCATTGGCAATCTGGATATTGACCTGGGGCTCAGGACAGATGTGAGATAAAATGATATTGATTTATTCATTCTTTGCAAACATCCCAAAAGTAGGTGAAACTGAGTATGGGGCTTTTGCCCTTAGTTGAGAGTAAATCAACAACAATTGCTATTTGTTAGGAGTCTGGTTCTTTCTCATTTCTTCCTCTCTCTCCTTCCACTTGTGTAGACAAATCTCTGTAGGAGCTGACTTGAAGGTGGTGACTAGAGAGAGGGTCACAGCCAGTGGGAATCAGTAATTCAGTCATCAACCATTTAAGTACTTACTATGTACCAAGCAATGTACTAAAACATTGATGACACGATGAAAGACGAAAAATAGTTCTCGCTCCCAAGGCGTTCACAGTCTAATAAGGGAGACAATCTGCAAACAACAATGCACAGCCATGATATATAGAGGATACGCTGGAAATAATCAACATCGAGAAGGCACTAGAATTAAAGGAGGTGAAGAAAAAGGAAGAGAAACTGACTGTTTAGACCAGGCTCATTCCAAGGGTGGGGTCAGGGGGTGGAAGATGTATCTCTTTCACTTTTACCTTAAACCAACAAACCTTCAGTCATAGACAGTGCAAAAGCTACACTTGAAAAACCTGCATCAATCAATCAATCCATCAAGGCCAGGCCCTTTGAGGATGATCTTTTTTGTAATTTGTAGCAGCAATGACATGGACCCATAATGCAATCATAAATTATTGTTATTATTGTTAAATTCTACACCTCTGGGAGTGATATGAGGAACAATATTGTGGAGAAATATTGTTCAACATGAAGAACAACATAGAATTGCTCTAACATTAATATTAATTTTAATTATTTAATTTAATAATGATACTAATACTGGCTTTGTTTATTGAATTCTATTTTATTCTACTTATTTACTTATTACTAATTTATTAACATAATTAGTTTAATTATTAACAATTTATATATAATTATATGATGGCAATATTACATATAATAATGGTATTATGATATATAATTATGATAGTATATGTAATTTTAAGGTTTTCAAAGTGCTTTACAAATATTATTTCATTTTATCTTCATAACAACCCTACAAGGTGGATGCTATTATTATCCTCACTTTACAGCCAAGGAAACTGAAGCAGTTAGCAGTGAAGTGACTTGCTTAGGGTCACACAGCTATTAAGTATCTGAAGTCAGATTTGAATTAAGGTTTTCTTGTCTCCAGGATCAGTGCTCTCTCCACTGCACCCCACAGCTGCATCTGATGGAAACAAAATGGCCCAATGGAAAGGCTGATGAACTTGGAAGTCATAGAAACAGCACGTGGTTTCTAATCCAGGCTCTACTATTTCCTTCTCTGTGACCAGTCACTTGTCTGGCCTCAGTTTCCTCATCTGTAAAATGATGGGGTTGTATTAGATGACCTCCCTTCCAGTTCTAAATCTACAGAACCTAAGCAAGGGCACTTGAAAGAAGCTCTAAGAGGAAGCCCCATGCGACCAATGGAGGCAAGAACTTCCCTACAGCTCTTTCTCTACTACACGGCAAAAACAAAGAGGATATCTCATTAGGACTGGGATGATCACTTAAAGATCATGTGTCAATGGTGCAGAAAGCTCCATCAAACTACACTGCAATGCAAGAGCAGAGAATCACTTCTGAGTGGGAGCAAGATGAAATAAAACTAGCTCCTGTGATTAACTGGCACCACTTGAATGAATCCTTTGCTGTAGGGCTAATTTGAAAATTTGAAGGAGAGAGAGATAGAAAGACAGAGACAGAAAAAAAGAGAGACAGACAGAGACAGAGAGACAGAGACAGAGGCATGGCATGACATAGACAGAGAGACATAAGAGTGAGAGACAGAGACATGAGAGAGAGAGAGAGAGAGAGAGAGAGAGAGACAGACAGAAGGGAAAAGAAGGAAGAGAGAGAGAGAGAGAGACAGAGAGAGAGAGAGAGAGAGACAGAGAGAGAGAGAGAAGCAGGCTTTCGGTTTCCTTAACCCATGTCCCTTGTGCCATGTTCCCAGTATGAGTGTAAATTCCCCCAGGGAAATTGGGAACAGAGAAAGCATTGCTTTGCCCGACTTGGTTTTTTTTTTGCTGTTGTTTGTTTTGTTTTGTTTTTTGTTCTTTATAATGTTTGAGAAGATGTAATTTTTGAACGCTCTCACACTATTTCCTGCTTGCTAGCACTCCTCGCCTCAGTCCACCTGGACCGGTCTCTGCTCTCCAATGCACCCTCCCACTTCTGGGCCTTTGCTCACACTGTTCCCCCCACCTAGCGCACTCCCTCTTCCTTCCCCAGTGGAACTGCTCCCCATTCTTTAAAGCACACTCAAAAACCACCTTTTCCCTCTTGTAGTTCACAGAACATCTTGTTTGCACCTCTGTGACGCATTTTGTGCATAATACCCAACATTTATAGAGAGTTTTAAAATTTGCAAAACACATTTCATATACTATCTCGTTTCATTCTCATGACCCTAGGAAAGGACTTCTTAACCTAGGGGTATACAAACCTGATTTAAAAAATATTTTGATAGCTATATTTTAATATAATTGATTCTTTGCAATCCTAATACATTTTACTTCATATTTAAAAACTATCATTGGGAGAAGAGGTCTGAGAAGGCTTCACCTGACTGTCTAAGGGGTCCATGATACAAAAGAGGCAAAGAATCCCTGCCCTA